CAGCGGGCACTGGAAAGCGCTCGCGGGTCCTCTCCCCAAAGCAACCCGGGGCCGCAGCAGGCTGCTCCTCCTCCTCTCATCTGGAGCGATCCCTACTGCATTTGCAGCACCGGCTGAAGGTTAAAAGCCTGCTGGCGCTGCTCCACCTGCCGCCAGATGCTACAGCCCAGCTGTTAAAGTCAGCACTTTGCCCTAAATCAAAGTACTCTGGTCAACCTTTCATTTAAATGAGTCTAAATACTGCACCTCATCGATGATGTCTCCGTTTTCAGCATGCACTTGGGCGATGGCCCCCAGGTCTCGAATAATGCAGAATATTTCGTACATCTGCCAAGAGAGAGCGGGTTGCCCCGTATCAGGTAACTCACGGTTCACGCTCAGAGCGTGAGGAGTCTTGCGGGACGCCGGCTGGCTGCATTACCTGGGCATCGGTGCACTGCAGTTTGTCTTTGTAGGCCATAAAAACCAGGAAGGAGTTCACACCTTGAGAAAAGAAAATCAAAAGCGTGTTTATTGTCACAGCTGAGAACTCGGCGATCTGGTGTGGCCGAGCAAGGGGGGTTTGAACTGGGGTTGGGGGGGGCTGTGCAAGCTAGAAGCAAAGCAAGGCGAAGGGCTGAAGTGGGAAACGCCCCCACAAGAACCGGACCCCAAAGCCCAGGAGCCATGAAAGACAATACACCCCCATCTCTGGAAAACCACCCCATCGCCCATCTCTGATTTTCGGTACTCTCTGCAATTGACCCGAATTCACACAATCAAACGCACTGCTCCCAATCTGAGTTTTCCCTCCAGAGGTGGTTTCAGTTTAGGGTTTATCCCCAACTTCTTTCTGGTAACTGTCTGTGAATTAGTGTACTAGCAACACAGCCAAAGGTGGGAATCTTTAATATTAGAGCACTGTTATTAACCTGGAGAAAGAGATGGGCAGTACCTCGCATACAGCACTGCACAGTCCTCATTCATCTCTAACATAAAGGATGATTCATGAAGCACCGAGTCAAAGCCCGAGAGTTGCTACTGTATTTTATATGGATAGAGGCAACAACTAAGCCCACACTACAATCAAATTCCAAACAAACTGCATTTCATGGGAACATACATATGAAAAATATGCGGTATAAGCTTGGAATAGCTGCATTACTTCAGCCACTCTGCATTTTAATAGGAAATTCACTGCAAATTTCTATGTTAATTGACCAATTAAGCGCTTGCTTGCAAGACTGCAAATTACACTGAAGTCATTTAGCTCTACATTAGCATATCTGAAAGCAAAACGTAGTACCAAACGTGGAAGTAAGTACTAATGAAATGCACGAATTCCTGCCGCACGGCCTGGTTTCCAGTAAGTCACGTCCAGCGGACACATCAGGATGTGCAGGAATTATAGGCACGAACGAAATCTCTAGGGAAAGCCTAAAGCTTAGTTTCATTCTATCAATCAGCCCCGTCTTGAATGTCTGTATTTAACTCCTTCTCTGCGCGTCAGGCAGCCTGCATCAGGGTGCCCGATACCACTCCTTTAGCTTCCCAAATTCGTTTTCACGACCGGGCTGTACGTTGCCCAGAGGCGAGCACACGAACAAGCTGTTGCGGTACCGATCCGGTGTCAATACCCCCGTCCGCACCTTTCTCCTAGGTGGCAAAAGTCGGGGAGTTCACACCTCAATCGCAAAGGAGCGAGGTCCCCACTTCTCCCCGGGTAAGGGCATCGCTGCCGGGCGGCAGTAAGTGTCACAGCTGACGGTGACCTGCTAATGTGCCTGCACTGCAACTACCACGCTGTGGGGGTTTTTGGTGGGTTATTGCCAGAACACCGCTCTTTCTGTCCGTACCCTTGTCCTTCACCAGGGCTTCCAGTTCCTCCTTCAGGCTGTCGTGCCAGCGAGGGATGTCGATGTGCAGGGAGTAATCGCAGCAGGCCTGGCTGTCGGCGGTCCCGCGCCACTGCTCGTAGGCAGCCAGGAGGCTGGTCCCGGCGTCCGCGCAGACGTGGTCAACTGGGGAAACACTGCACAGCGTTAGCACGCGTGCCAAGGAAAGGGCGAGAGGAGTGCCTGGGCAGTGCAGCAGCCACCCGTGTTCTTGGGCAAGACTTTACTGCGGTGACAAGGAGACGTTTTAATACTAATTCATTTTTATAGCATTGAATAAAGATGAAGGATAATAAATTTCCTAGGTGAAGTGAAACAAATGGAACAAACTAACTCCAAGTTTCAGCTACTATTATCCCTTTTTTCACACAGCCTACCTAGCACGACACCTGAGAGGCCGGTGACCAAAGTGTGTCCTTGCACACTTTTGCACATGGTGCAAACGCTCCCTTGGGCACCTTCCACGGGCAGTCACCCACAGCCCATCAGTTACTGCACCTCCTCTCATCTTTGTTCCTATTCCCTACAGTATCGGCTCGAGATCGGTACAGATCGACGCCAGGACTTGCTGAGGCTGCTCTTTCAGTCACATACTACAAGGGGCCTCGGGGCCAGAACAAGACAAAAACAGAAATCAAAATTATTTTACATTAACATAGAAATGGAACCCATGCTCACAGAGCTGAAAAACTCTCATGAAAACACAGCCGCAAAGCTATTAAAAACATATTAAAATGTTCTTAAAAGTTTTCTTCTATTTTATTCTCTTACGCAGCAAAGCAGGAGCAGCTATATACTTTTAATACACATGCGTGGCAATGGAAGGAGGTTCTGAATGGCACGTAATGCATTTTAATGAGCTTTATAGCACTTTGATTTTGACAGCAAAAATTAACGTCTCTGCTATGAGGGTAAATAATCTCTGCAATGATAAAAGGCCCAATGTATTTTGCTAAACAATGTTCTACTTAGAAGTCTGTTCGAATGCTGCTCCATCTTACTGATCATTGTGGTCCCTCCTGCCAGGGCTGCCTTTGTGCCTTGGTAGAAGTCATCGGCAGAGGTCATCCCCATGACGGGCATCTGCAGTCTGGTATGGACATCTATCCCGCCGGGCATCACGATCTGGCCATAGGCATCAATTGTCTTGACACCACCAGGAACAATCAGGTTCTCTCCAATTTGTCTGAAAACGACATGAAGATCTCCTGTTCATTGGCAACGACTTTCAAATGAAGATGCAAAACCAACTTCTAAGTTCTGCTTGTGGCACGCATGCGTGTGCTGCCCACGCCTCCTCACACCGTGGGGCCGGGTTCTGCTGGGGAACCCATCCCACCCCTCCTGGCTCCGGCACTCGTTAGCGGCGTTGGGACACGCCAGGCCATCACCTGAGGGACCCTGCTCAGAGCAGAGAGCTGCTGGGGTCTCGCTGCCAGACTCTGGACACTTCTGACGTGCACAGAGCTTAACCTGGCTCCTCACTCGTCTCCTGCACAACTCAGAGCAGAGCATCGACTGTCAGCACTTCGCGCATCTTCCCAGCCACAAAAGCACGCTAAAGTAGCTCTTTCCTGACAATATTCTGAAAAGCTGTCCTCGTTTTTCAAAAAGGGAATATATTTCCAGGAGAAAAATGCCAGAAAGTACCCTTGTTCACATTCCATGGCACTGTATCGTGCCTGGAAATTACATTACCAAATACAAATGTTTAACTTACTTTATTAAACCGTCTTCCACATAAATGTCTCCATAAAATGACTGATCATCGTTGACAATTTTTCCTCCTTTGATTAGAAGCTGGTCACTCTAATGGAAAAAAAAAAAAAATCCACATTTTTTTCTAAGATTACTTTATTTAGATGCTACTTTACTCATTCTGAGCTTTCATTAAGTCTAGGACTTAATATTTTGCCCTTCAATCATTTCTTCCCTGTGAGGGTGCTGAGGCCCTGGCACAGGGTGCCCAGAGAAGCTGTGGCTGCCCCTGGCTCCCTGGCAGTGTTCAAGGCCAGGTTGGATGGGGCTTTGGGCAACCTGGGCTAGTGGAGGGTGTCCCTGCCCATGGCAGGGGTGGCACTGGGTGGGCTGGGAGGTCCCTGCCCACCCACACCAGGCTGGGGTTCTGTGACTCTATGACTCTATGAAGTCCAGTCACTATCCAAACTATTCTACACCAAAGCCCAACTGTATTTTGCAAAGGAAACCATATAAAATTGTCATTTGAGAGGAACATAGATCTCCTGTGAAGCACGGTACAAGCCTGGGGCGTACAGGCAGCACAGCCTGACAGCTCTGGGTACCAGCAAGCCCCCCATTTCAGAGGCCTGCGCCCCACATCTCTGAGCAGAGCCGGCCGCAGGGAGCATGCTCCAGCCTTTGCTGCTCCTGCCCTGCCTTGCAGGAAGCACGCGGCCACCTCGAAGGCCCACCACGAGCTCCTTCGGAGCAGGTTCAGAGACTGACCGAAGTTCTCAGCAGTTTTAATAGGTCAGCAAGATAACGTCCTGCAGCTCGGCCATGTACCTGCCTCCTCCATCAGCCCCGGTGACAGAGACTTTTAAGTTCACCTTATTAACCTGACAATTCATTGACATTTGTTAGTTTTCACAGCCTTGTCGGAGGCAGACAATGCCTCAAGGACTTTCCTCGCTTCAAAGCAAGACACTGGTACAGTTGTCAGCTTTGCAGAATCTTTAACCAGAAAAATTAGAAAGCAGTGGCATTTATGTAAATGTGGAACTGCAGCCTAATTTAAGAGGATTCCTCTCCTGCTCGTTGGTGTCGCTACAAAAATTATTACCAAGGCTAAGATGGGCAACACAAAGAGCACGGCCTCCGCACAAAACCAACTGAGGGATGCGAGAGCACGTGGAGATGACTTACAACACAGCAATGCTGCTGATGCTAAAGAGCCTGGAAAACATTTTGGGGTCTTGTTTTAAAGAGCATCGCTGGCACATAAAACATATTAAAGAATTGCATTGCGTTTTTTAAAGTATCGAGGCTTTTTCTGCATCTTTATTGTTTTCCCTCGTCCCACAAAATCAATCAAAAGAAGCTTCTGTGCTGGCTGCCCCACGGGAGAGCCCTTCGGGCCCCATCTGAGGATGCCGGC